CGACTGTTGGGTGTGCAATAAACACACTGAACAGAAAATAGTGGGCGATTAGAAAATTTGGTGGGTAATATAGGATGTTGAGTGTTAAAAATTTCTTTTAATCATTTCAACCCAAGCAAGGCAATATAACCACTAAGACACAAGGGGTTACTGAGTGTGAAAGAATAAAGAAAAAGAAAATATGCAAAAAGCCTGTATAAAAAAGAAAAGAAAAGAGGAGGCTAAATGCGTATAGCGGGGTCACATTCCTAGGTAAGATATGAACGTCCCCAGAAAGAAGGAATATTGCGGTATTTTCTATAATTTTGAGAAGGTTCATTAACATTCAAATAATATTTCAATATTAGACATAACAAAAAATATTCGATGACTTTCTAGTAGATGCTAGTAGTATATCTTATTTTTAAATTTATAATTACGAGCAAAACTTGTTTATATATTTTGTCAACATTTTCAAAGTTAGCCCTAACCGGAAAAATTAAATTATATATCTATTTTTTAATGGTCAAGTTTGCTTTCGTTTGTTTTTTTAATACTGTAGTAACGGCAACAGCAGACGCATAAGTCAGCGTTATTTCTTATCTCACGTTGATATTTTTTACTAAATCGTAACGTTAGTTTACGAACCAGTAACAAACATTTACCAAACAATTTTGGTATGATTTTAAATATTTACTATACAGGTAGGCGATGGGAAATTTTTCCATGTGCAAGAGGATAATGGTTGGGAACTCCCTGATCTAGAAAGAAACTGTCCAGGATTTACTGTCATATATGAAAGCATACATGACATAACAGTTCAGTAATTTGTTTCTAACAAAATTTTCTTATTATCATTTGTTTTAGTTTTGGAAGCCATCTTTCTGTGCGCCTTCAAGTTTCTGTGTCACATATTTCGTCGTCTGTTTGTATATTGCTCAATTAACCTTCTGATCCTGCTTGATTCTGTATGATTGAATGATTTTTTACGGCTTATCAACACTGTGTGTTATTTAAGGTCCAAACTTATTTCGAATTTTAAGAATAATTCTTTTTACATTTTGCGAAAGAATAATGCCTTAAAATTTTTTTGAGAATAACAATAATTTTTTTCCCCCAGAAAAACGCCTTACTATTTAATCTGTAGCTGGGAGAAAGAGATGGATTCATACCTTTCATAAGGGTATTTGCGCGTAAGTGAATGTAACTAACTCTACTGGAATTCGATCATGGCTTTCCATTTCCTCACTTCGATCTGCTATCCATTAACACACTCGCACATCCTTTCGCACTGATAATAGTTTCACACACACACACACACACACACACACACACACACACATATATATATATATATATATATATATATATATATATATATATAATCAAGTATAGAATCGGTGTATACGGAATAAATTCCAATAACCGAAAAATACTATTCATAAAAGTCTGCTCAATACACAGTAGAACAAATATAATTTATTCGAAAATTATAACATAAATATGTTATAAAATCATTACAAATATAAACATTTTGTTTCAACGCTTCTGGTGTCTTATCAAATGATGGTGTTGAATGTTATAATTTTCAAATAAATTATATATATATATACATATATAACACCAATACACGCAATCTACATAAACCCAATTTTTTAAAACATTAATCAGTTTGTCTGACGATCGTTAAAGCGTGAAACCCAGGGTCACAAACTCACATCTATCCAACCAAATATATATATATATATATATATATATATATATATATATGTGTGTGTGTGTGTGTGTGTGTGTGTTGAATAATATCAAGAAGATCGCATGAAAATCTCCCCGTGAAGCAGATAGTAAAGGACACACACACATTAACAAAACGATGGCAGCCATGATACACAAGCATACAACAAAACTAGCCAAATAAAGTCGGTACGAAAATCTCCGTTTGATCACTCAAGGAAAGCAGTTCCAGAAGAGTAACCAAAGGCGGCCATCATGTTAATCTCTTTAATATAGGTAAACCAACTCCCCTTCTTAACTAGGCGATTCTCTAAGTGGAGCATCTATCAGATTCAGTTCAATCCCGTTTCCCCTCCCCCCCCAACACTTTCTCGGCCCGGCTCCAAACCAATCGCCAAAACGCCATACACACCCTGCCACTACTTTCCCTACAATATCTACATATCTGTACGGACTGCCTTCACCATCCGGCTGGCCTACTCCTCCTCGCCGGCTTCTAAACGAAGTTTCTCTGGCGCCCTATACACTGTCAAGCGGAACGTATTACCTGTACTTATTGTTTTAGCTCTCAATATACAAGTCGTCATTGAACGCTGACCCAACTCGACTTCTTCGGCTCTTTTACTTAAACGCCTATTTCTTTATGCAACTTACTCTATAAGGAGTAAAAAAGAGGTTCATATATATATATATATATATATATATATATATATATATATATATATATATATATTAATAAATAAATTGTCGGACTTTGTCCATTAATATATATATATATATATATATATATATATATATATATATATATATATATATATATATGTGTGTGGGTTATCTTAACGAACTTACCTAAGGTTTAAAATACATTAAAAAATAAAAAAAAAACTTTCTTGAAGCTTTTATTTCCATTTCAATTCCAAGCTAATAGATTAAATTTAATATTTACAATAAGGAAAATACTTTGTGAATTTCGAACCGAATTTAAACAGATAGGAATATTTCTTTTAAATCGATATAATCGGCCATATTGACATATCTGTCAACACAACATAATTCTCTTTATTAAAACGTAGTTCAAAAATAAAATATACTTTTTTGAAACTTTATCTGTGGAACATTAACTGATTTAAAGAATAATTAATTTGAATTAAAACAAATATAACTTATAATTTAAAATATCGCAGAAAAGCATTATTTAACATAGACGTTTGTGTTTTATGTGTTGTTGGCAGATTTATCGTGAGTTTAATGTTTGGAATTTTTAAGTAAAGGGTACGTAACTGTAAAAAATATTTGACGAATGGAGTTAACGATTTTTTATATAATTTCTTAACTACCCAGTAATCTAACAAATTTAAGAATATATTCTATGTATTCTAATAATTTATTGAATTTTAGGTAATATAGTTTTAATTATGAAGATACTTGTTGAGGAAATATCAGGAAATTACTAATAATTCTAAAATCTACTATATTTAGCGCTCTTATTTTCTGATAATCGGCACGTTTATACACACAAAAAAAAATCAAAATTATTTTTAAAATACTGAGGGTAGCTGAATTGTAGTAACTCTTTCCATTAATTATTAGGAAATATAATTTTTACTTAAGAACAATATCACCTAACCGCTACAATTTAATACAGGATTTTAAAAGATTTAAAAGTTAAAACAAATGAAAACAATACTTGCAAAAATTCATTATTGATCAAAAAATGTTTTTTCTTAAGGCAGTGATGCCCATAATAGATTTTATACATAAAAGCAATTTGAAATATTTCTAATTAAATCATTCCATATTTTTATTTTAAGATTCAAACCAGATTTTCTGTAACTGTAGCAAAGATGGTCTTTATGACTAATATAAACATTAATCGTGATAAAAATTAATTTCTCCAAATTTCATAATCACTATCTATAAAAGACAGGATGTGTGTGTGTGTGTGTGTGTGTGTGTGTGTGTGTGTGTGTGTGTGTGTGTGAATGCACGGCCGCAATTTTCGACAGATTTGCACCAAAATTTACATGCACATGCTCCAAGTTAGCGGGAAGGCCAACACCGACTTTGCATTTCCCAACTTCCATCGATAGTGGAAATAATCGATTTTTCATGCTTCTACGGCAGTTTTCATGTAGTTTGCGGCCATTTTCTACTGGCCAGAGGGAAAGCCTATAGCTGGCTGCCAGGAATAGGCAGGAAGATTCTATTGGCCAGCGTGGGAGCCAACAGCTGACTGACACGAATGTTAACTAGCATGCTAGCATGCAAAAAAATTGATAGCTGCATTCGTCACAAGTGGGAAAATGTTAAATCTGCATGGCACTTTACTCCAATTGGCTCATTCGCTTGCTTAAACTCAACGTTGATTCTGATTCCGTTAAAACTGGGTTGGGTGTGAAAAAGCATTTGTTCATTCGGTTTTTTCCAGTTACGAGTCCTTTTTTAAAGCTAATCGTTTTGTGTTCATTTTATTTAGTTCTTTTTTCGTAACAGATGTAGCAACATTAACACGGCAAAGGGCACTTCTTTAAAGGCAAGGAAGGGCAAACATATTTTAAGTCAAGTGATAGCGATTGCTGTGTCAGTCGTACGATTTTTGAATCAAGCACGGGCAGCGCCGGGCCATGCTGCTCGTATTAAATAAGTGTGAAGATAACAGGTGTAATAAATATTTTATTATTCTACAATGAAACATTTCATTTGTGAATAAATCCTTAAAGTTTCATTAAATTCGGACATCTGTCTGTCGCCAAATAGAATTGGAGCAATAATTGGAGTCAAAGGCAGCAACATTAATTACTAACTGTATACTTTAACGTTTCATACTTTCTGTAATGATGAAGATCACTTTTTGCAAATCAAAAATAATTTATTTTGATTAAAGAAAAGACACATGGCGCAGTGGATAAAGGCGTTGGTTAGATCCAGTGACAGAACCCAAAGAGTGTGAGTTCAATACCCGGCTAAGGCAGTGGAGAACATTTAGAGGGAAAATTAACATTCAGAGGGAAAATTAGCAGGAGATAACTGACATCCATTAAACATGGCACGTGGAACTAGAACAGTCTACCCCAGTGAGCGAAATAAAGGGTTCAGTTCGACATTACAGCCACCTGAAGAAGGCCGGAGCGTACAACGGCCGAAACGTCGTAATAAATATGGCGACAAAGATGAGGACAATAATCCGAATAATGTAAGTAATGTACATAATACATCATCTCAGAAATATAGACAGATATTAAAGAAAAGAGCTGGAGGGTAAGATTTTTGCCTGGTGGCCCAGGCTTACGGGCACATCACGTTGAAACACCGCTTCCCGCACGACTCCCTGAAGTTAAGCAACGTCGAGCCTGGTCAGTACCTAGATGGGTGACCTCTTGAGAATAGCAGGTGTTGTAAGCTTGGATGCCCAGATGGTGTAATGAATAACGGCTCGGAATTATTCGTCGGAGGACCGAGTTCCAATTTTAGTTGGGTTCATTATATTCACTTACAATTATCCTTGGAAAATGTATGAATCTACCTCTTCTCCCTCCAGCTATGGGTTAATTAGTAAGACTTGTATCACTGAAAACTATTAATAACTCCAAAACAAAAAATAAAACTGCGTACAACATACTGAGATTTCGCCATGAAATAACCCATAGAATTTGATATGCCGCTAAACAATAAAACAACCAACAGTATTTTTTCCTATTTTTCCAGTATGATTATGTGTACGATATTCGATCATCCAGTATTAACATCATTTACAAAAATGATGTGAATTCTTTTCTGCCCTCAGGGTGTTATTTTATCAAGATATCAGAAACTAGATACGTTAATTTTCAGCCTTCACGCTATAAGAACAAGAAATGGCTTTTCAGCCTGTCGTGGAGTAAATCTTGTTTATTGAAGAAAGCATACTGCTAATTACTTGATTTTGGTGTTAAATTTAAAAAAAAATAATTTACCAATTTATATATATATATATATATATATATATATATATATATGTGTGTGTGTGTGTGTGTGTGCGTATGTGTATGTGTGTGTGTGTGTGTGTGTGTGAGTGTGAAAATATATAGAAAATATGAAGGAACTGGTTAGGTAAATAATCCAAAAGTCCCTTAGTATTTTAGTTATTATTTTAAAAAAATAGTGCTCGATACAAAAGTAGAGCATAAATATAATTATTTATTTAAAAATATGATTCCAAATCGCGATATAAGAAGTCCCATGTTTCAAAACAAGAGCCGAAAACTTCAATATAATTATTTAAATTTTTTTTTTTTGAATAACGTTTTAAAACACGTAAATTTCAGAAACACGTTATTCCCCAAAAAATTTCGCTTGAAGATGGAACAGAGCTTATTTTAACTCAATTTAATTTAAATAATTATATTGAAGTTTTCGGCTCTTGTTTTGAAACATGAGAATTCTTATGTCGCGATTTGGAATCATTTTTAAATAAATAAATATATATATATATATATATATATATATATATATATATATATATATATATATATATATATACTTGTTTGTGTGTGGCGCCTTTTCTTTATTTTGTATTCACTTATTAGGGATTTTTTCTTGTGTAAGGAGTTAGTTTTTCTGGCAAGTTGTCTGATATATATATATATATATATATATATATATTATTAGTGGTAAATATACACATACACATGCAATCATATATCTAAAATATCTAAATATATATACATACATACGCATACATATATATATGTATAAAAAATAATTACAAGAGGAGAGAATCCAGGTAGAACTCAATGTTCAGGACAGAGTTAGGATATAATAAAAAGGCTTAAACACTAATATTCCATGGTTATAATTTATTCCATTGGAATGTGCGGCTATCATTCGCAGAGAGGTTTCTTTTGATGTATTACCTTTGCGACTAGACAACCGAATGCTTAAAGCCAGAATCGAAACCCGACCGATTTGGTAACAGTTGGAGATTCAGCGGAGAGAAAGACGAATTCTCGCGTACTGATTTTACGAATGTAAACAAACAGTATATATTACTTAAACGTTATTTTTAGTGGATACTCATATTTACGTAGACGCCTTGTTTACTAATTAAACGGTATATTTATTTATTTTTGTATACCAAGTTGAATATTCGAGAAATTTTATCAAAAACATATGCGGTCACCGTCAGGACGCGAATCTGCGTGCCCCCTTGGTAGGAGAAACCATCGTTAGATTCGACGTGCTTATATCAACACAGACACAGAATGCATCGCCGATTATCAGCGCAAATTTCTCTCCAAATTCCTTCTCGAAATATTCGTACCTGCTCAGTCTCGTATAAATTTATACAGAAGTAATGTTTTTTCAATTTATTAATCCAACAGCTTTTTTTTAAAAATATGGCCATATATGACAGAATAATAAAATAAAGAACAAACAGGAAACTTTATCAATCTAACATGTTTCGCTTTTATTAAAGTTGCATCCGAGAATGAACTCATTCTCTGATGAAGTTTTAATAAAAGAGAAACATGTTAGATTGATAAAAGTTTCCTATTTGTTCTTTATCTTTTCCTATATATATATATATATATATATATATATATATATATACATGTGTGTGTATGTGTGTGTGTTTGTTTGTGTGTGTGCATGTTTCATTAAAAACGACAGACAAGGTACTACGATTAAGCTTTTTATTTAATTTTCTTTTGTCCGAACAAGTGTTTTCGTTTTTGGACCCAGAGTGTATAGAAAGTATCCAAATATCCTGTATCTCAGAGAGCTTTCGACTATGCTTTTAGACATTATCAAGGATGATTTTATTTTTTAGCACATTGTAGCCATGTTCGTAATTAATATTATTAAGTGTTGGCCTTTTCTTTTTTATTATTAAGGCTTCCATTGTTTTTAATCTTTTTTACATGTAGATGAAGTGTGAGTTTAAATGGGTTCTAATAGAGCTGTTGTCAGATAGGTGTGACGTAAAACGTCTGGATAGGCATGTAGTCGTGTGACTATATATATATATAATTAGGGTGCGATGGATAAGTTGTCGTCTAAATTGCGCAAAAATGAAGATAGCACTGGCATCTCATTTTTACAAAAATTGAACCAAATTTACTCAAAAATATTAAAGAATAAATTTATTCAATAAAATTGCCATTGGCTTCAATCATTTTTGTTGGTCTCTCACTCAGCTGAGACACACACATAATAAACAAGGAGGTTGCAGTCTGGGGAGTTAGGTGGCCAGATGTAAAGGTTGATGTGGTTGCAGTAATTGTCTGAAAGCCATGACTGCGTTCTCCTGCTTGTGTGGCATGGTGCAGAGTCCTGTTGCCAGACATAGGGTCTTCCAGCGGCCACCTTCTTGACCAAGCGCAGCACTACCCCCTCAAGGCACTTGATGTAGGCCACCGCGTTGAGTTTGAGGCCCTCACCAACAAATTCGGGAGTTCTTTTCTTATCAGAACGAGCAGAGTGAGTTTTCCGCGAGGCCATACCTTCGTAATCAGCCTTAGACTCATCCAACTTTTTCAGAATCCTCTGCACAACTTAACGCACAAACACTCTGAAATGTTTGTATTGAATGCCGAGCAGTACAGCATGCCGTTTCCAAATTTCTGGCGGGGTGAATTGCATCATTGTGCTCTCTTTCTCACAGACGGTGCCCAACTGACTCTACAAAATCAAAAACAAACAACGCGCATGCGCGAAATTAAAAATATAAGATGGCGACAATTTAACCATCGCTCTATGTATCGAACCATCATAATCTGCTCATCACCAGGCCGAGAAGTCATTCCTTTTGATGAGAGCGTGAAGGCAGGACAGATTAAACATAAATAGTCCCTGAGATCAAGGCCGGTTCGTACTACTCTCGAACCACAGACCGACGTGGGAGTGGGTCAAGGCACTGAGGTCTCTGGAAAGTGTTTTGTGACCTTCGCTATCTTATCAATATTTTGCTTTTTTTTTTTTTCTCCCTGCATTTATATGCTACAAATTAAACTAAGTACAACTAAACTTTTAATGGATGGAATATTTTCGCGGGTTTTGAGGTCCTTCTGGGGTCTTTTTTGTCCAAATCCGTGAATTTGTTTTGCTCATGCAAAGCCTCAAAAAATCACTATATAAAATTCACTATGTTTTCTTATCTATAATGTTGGATGTGCTAAAGTTATTCAACTCTTTAACAAGAAAAATATCAAGTTGATTTAAAAAATTACCGCAGAACATTGTTGATTTATTTAAGATGGATCGATCATTTGGGATATCTCTCCAAATTGGATTTTAGATAGCCATGTTAGGGATAGAAATAAAGACACAAAGAGAGGATATATAAAAAATATATTAACAGAAAGGTAATACAAACATATGCAAACGAGTGTTACATCAAGAATGTTCGGTCCGACTGTCAGAGCTGACAACTGGAAACTTCATTCCCAAAAGGCAGTACCTGCTCCTATTTATATCTGGAAGAGTCCATTAGTGCGTGGGCAAATTACCGGAACAGATCGATTATATTTTCATTTTTTGTAGTTGAATTGTCCTCTTATATTGCATATGATCCATTATTATACATAATTAGATTACAATAAAACTTGTATTTTATATGAATACTACTTTAAGAAATTTGAGATGTAACAGAGTCGGGTGCGTATGATAGATTCGGGAGAGGAGGTGACTCTTTACCGGCCCTACCTGAGATCATTAGATGAAATTACGTTTTGAGAAAATGTCTTAGTTATAAGACCGGCCATATTGATGGACATGTAACAAGCGTTCAGCTCTCTCCGATACAGATGTATCGACACTCTAAGTAAATTATCCAAAATAATATTTCTGAATATTTCCTTGTATGTGATGATTAATTCTTAATTTCATCCGTTCTGTCTATGAAGTCAGCGTCACAATGACATTTTATAAGCAAATCACCCCAAGCAATGCGGGAGTACCACCAGCACGCAAGGGGTTACATAGAGTGTGAGTAAGAGTAAAGAGGAGTGTTCGAGGAAAGGATAAAGAGAAGGACAGGGATCAAGGTCATGGCATCAGAAGATGACGATTGACATTACATTTGAATATTTGAAGATTATATTTATCAGGGAAGCAAGTAAGGACAAGGGAGTTCCACTGTCGAGAGGTGTGAGATAAGAAGTTGGTGAAGTAGAAGAGATGGCTACATTTAGCTGTTTCGATAGTGAAAGGGTGGGACCAAGATGCTAACCTAGTAGCACGCTTAAATTCATGCAGTTTGGGAAACAGTAAACGTAGCTTGTCGGAGTAGTTGCCGTGAAAGTACATGTAGAAAAGACAGAAGGAAGCCACGGCACGTCTGTGAGATAGTGACTGTAGACGGGATGCCAGATCAGGACAAAAACGTTGCATATCCGTCTCTGGACTTTTCTTGAGGACCTC